AAAGAAGCGTTGACAAAGCCCTGCCTGGGATGATTTAGTTGGGAATTGGTCCTGCTTTGACTAGATGACCTCCTGAGGTCCCTTCCAACCCTGATAGTCTATGACACGGCTTTCTCTCTCATGTGTACACACACACACACACACACACACACACACACACACACACAGGCTGCTGGGAATCTAGACTGCTCTCCCATCTCTCTTTACTTCTCTCCTTGCTCACACCCCATATCCAGAGCTATGCTCAGACCTTGGGTGTCTGAAGAAAGCAGCCATTGCACAGGAAAGCGAAACTACAACCACCACCAAAGTAATAAATAATAATGTCATTTTTTTTAAACTAACCATGTTTTGGCTTGGTTTTTCATTGTATTCAAACAGCTCCATCTAACCCTATAACTGACATGGCCAACTTTGGCTGGAGTTTCTGAATGTTTGCAAGTAATGCTCCTCACAGATTGCTTTGAACCTAGATAATGGGCTGGCTGTATGCAGAGAGATGGACTTGTAGCACAGGAAAGAGAAAAATCTCAATTCCCAGTAGTGCAAGAGTTTTTACTGGCTCATGTGAAAGCAGTGAGAAAGAGTGTGCACTGCTAGACATGCAGCCAGGTAATAGAAAGCCAGGGAAGTGATGAAGCTTTTTCAACTCTAGGGGCTTTGATTAAAAATTAGGAAACATTTTGTTCCCACAGCTGTTCCCAACCTCACTGAATAGCAGAGACTAGATGGAGTCTCTCCATCACTAATACAATGGTCCTCAGAAACAGCTATTCTGGTTTTTCCAGATTCTTTGAGCTCGTCAGTATAAATTATGCCAGGAAAATGAGAGAACACGATGAAAAGTGAAATCTGATCCCTTCCATTCAGCTGGGGGAACTTGTGTCAGAAGAAACACTCTCCATAATAGATCCCATACATCCCCTGCTTTCATCTCCCATAACAGTGCAAACCTCTGCTGGTTTATTTAGCCAGCAGCTTAATACAGTTTCTTCAGCCATCCATAGAGAGACCAACTCATAAGCAGCTCAGAACAGTTTAGGCAACAATCCTGGAAATCGTGTACAGTTAATGTGATGGAGGTTTGTGCAGCTGGTCCCTGGCTTGGGACCTGCTCAAAGTTAGGCCTCAAAGTTGCATTTCTGGAGAGAAACCAACGGGACTATTGCACGCACGTGGAGGAGAACTGAGATTTGGTTTGGAGCCTGCGCTGCAGAAATACATGTTGCTTACAACATCGGCGCTCAGAGAACAGGAGTGGCCTTGTTCTGACTGCACTACCATGCTTCTTGGGTCCAGCACTAGCTGCATTTCTCATATACAATTCACTGGCCAATTCATTTCATGTTAGTCAGTAACATGAATGACTAGGCAGGACTAGGTTTAGAATAAATTCTCATATGGCACCAGATCGCATCCAAAGCCCACTGAAGTCAAGCAAAAGACTCCCATCGATTTTGATGGACTTTGGGCAAGGCCCTAGTAGGGGTTTCCATGGTGTAGCTACTATTTCTTTATTCTCAGGGTTATGCTTCTTCTCTCCACACATGCAGGAAACAGCCCCACCTCCAGCCCCAGGTGACTGAGCTCAGCGGGCTCAAAATTGTGTCCCTCCAATTCATCCCTTCCCTAGCAACTTGTAACTCAATTTGCCTCTTTAATTAAAGGTGCTGGACTGTCAGCTTCTGTAGACTACAGGTGTACCCTAAAGTGGCTTTGTTGTGCTTGTTGACCGTTATCAGCAGGGAGCCTAGAAATCCGTTTGCCACAGAAAAACGCAGAAGTTGCATTTTGACAGAGACTCTTCAGTTTTTACATTTTGTGAAAAAAATAAACACATACAATTTACTGAAAGTACCAGTGTCACTTATTCAATGTGTGCAACCTGCCCCTCTTGTGGCTGGGTTTTCAATGCATTGTAAATGTACATAGCTAAATATCCTCCAATAAACTGCTTCCGGCAAACAGAGGTTACTCAATGGTATATAGGGGTTCGTGTTTTAATGCATCTCAAATTTCACCTCAGCCTCCAGACGCGAGTAATTAAAGTTATGAAAAGATGCCGAAAACTTTTAAAATCCCCCCTAAAGTCCATGTCACGGAGTTTGGCAAGGACAAGTTTCACACTGATGGTAACGTGCTGTTCTGTACAGTATGCAGCAAGGCTAGAGATGGCATTCAAAGGCTGACAATTGTAGAACACGTGGAAAGCACTAAACAAACGGAATGAAAAGAAACTAAAACAAGAGGCTGATACAGGAGAACCATCGACAACAGCAAAGAAACAATGGACCGTGACTGGATCATTCTATTAACTATATTTTATTATAATGGATGGTACTGGTAGGCGTTGAACTTGCTTAAAAATTGTAAATCTATCAATAAAACATTGTGATCAACTGATACCTCTATACCTTGTGGCTAGGGAAACTAACATTCAGCATTTCATTTTAATCGTGAATTTTTATGTTTTTTTTTTTTAAATCAGAGAATTTGGGGGGGTTTATCACGGGAAACTAGGATCCCTTGTTATCAGACAACAGAGGTCAATTATTCTACAACGTAGCTGGACAAAGACATGCACTAATTATTATTAATAATAAAAGAAAAGCAACAATAATTCCTTTTTGGCAGGCAACGGCCAAAAGCGTGTGGGTCCCTTAACACCCAGCTAAGCTGCAAAGGCAACATGCCGGGGAAGCCACAGAGGGAAGCAAAGAAGCAAACCCATGCCCAACACCACACACAAATCATCATACAAGCCATGCTCCCAGAGCACCGCTAGAGAGGAAACGAAAGAACTTCAGCCTCACCCACAAGGATGCCATGGTACACGAAGGGGGAGAGAGGCCAGAGATGCCAGCCTGTCTTTTCAAATCAGCCCCCTGGGAACATCAGCAGCTCCAATCAGCCGTTAGAGGGTGAGCGATGGGTGACAAACGAGGCGGCCGTTCCATGGCATTCCTACTGGGGGCACAGAATGATGGAAGTTCAGTGACCAGCCCGCCAGCTCCAGGGAAGAAGAGCTCTGTGGAATAGGACAAGCTTAGAGGGCAGAGGAATAATTAGATTTCATACAAGACCTTATTTGTTATGCCGTGTGGGAACTAAACCAGCATGACACAATGGGGAGTAAAAATAAAGCGTGGCTGCACCCAGCCCCACCGAAGGCAGGAAATCACCATCAGATTACAGCGAAGGAAGGAAAAAGGTGAAACAATGTTTGGGGCAGGATATTCCAGCTGTCTGTGCCAACAGAGAGAGAACATGTTAACCCTGTGCTGGGATGCGGCCCCACCTCTGGGGCAGGGTGGTTGCAGGGTCTGTCACGGAAAAGGAACAGTTTGGGTCACCCTGGAAACAGAGATTTTTAACCAACTAACCAAAGCTCTTTAGCGACCTTCAGCCCATCTGCTGCCTTACGCCACGCACACACACTCGCCCCAGTGCGGGAGCCCGGGCCTACTCAGCTTTGGCATCTTTCAACACTTGAAGGCCCCTCTTGGCCGGCACAGGGGTTGAAGGCCAATTCTGGGGTGTACTGAAAACTGTATTAACCTTGTAAGCTTCCACTTTAAATGGTGGGGGGGGGGGAGCCCAGAAGGGCTCAAATCAAGTTTCCAAATGGCCTAAATAACTAATTCACAACACTCAGCTGCTCTGGGCAGACAGACCCCCGCTCAGCAGCCTGGCCTGCAAGGCAAGTACTGTTATCCAGACCTCACAGAGGGGGAAGCGGAGGCCGAGGGGGGCCCGGACGTCCCCCAGGCCACACAGTGAGTCGGTGCTGGAGCTGGGATTAGCACGCAAGAGCGAACCTGTGGAAACAGGCGCACTCGCTTCCGCTTACTGCAGCCACAACACGAGGATGGCCATTGTTTAGCATGGCAGGGTAACACCACGGCTCAGCAGTCACCAGTGCCTGGCTCAGGGCTCCAGTCAGGTGTAAAAACCTGCGGAAAGCCATTTGCACTCATAATGGGCCCCACTGCCGGTCAGAAGGATGAGCTCATCCTACATACCAGGGCTGTGCGGCTACTCCCTGTGCTCTAGCCCGCTCAGGCTTTGCTGCTCGGGAAGGGCAAATTGTGTCGGAGTAATCCAGAAATGAGGGGCTGAGAACAGAAGAGAGAGTGAAAACAGCCAGGATAACAACAGGCTTCTCCTGGTACAGATATCACAGCCGCTTGCTCTACCTGTCGGGGAAGGGGATCTGAGTTGTGGAAGAACAGCTGACAGCCAAGCACAGTCCAGGGGGTCAGAGCATGGGACCAAGAGTCAGGATTGGATGCTAGTTCTGCCACTAACTTGTGTGCGCTTAGGCAAGTCAGTTTCCCCAGCTATAAAATGGGGATGATATAACACTACTTGCCTACTTGTAGCAGGGGTTGTGAGCCCTGGGATTGGCAGGCTGTCATAAATATAAAGGGAAGGGTAACAACCTTTATGTATGCAGTATCATAAAATCCCTCCTGGCCAGAGGTACAGAATCACTTACTTGCAAGGGGTTAATCAGTTCAATTAACCTAGTTGGCACCTGACCAGAAGGACCAATGTGGAAAGAAGATACTTTCAAATCTGGGGGAAGCGGGGGGGAGGTTTTGTTTGTGCTCTTTGTTTGTTCCCTCTTGGGACAGAGAGAGACACCAAGCAGATAAACCAGATCCTAAAACGATGCCTGAAATGATCCATATAAAATTACAGAAATTGTAAGTAAAGGCAAGGAAATGCATTAGATTATCTTTTGTTTTAGCTTATGAATTTTCCTTATGCTAAGAAGTAGTTTTATTCCTGTTTTTGGAACTGTGAGGTTGAGTCCAGAGGGGAGCCCTCTGTGTTTTAAATCTTTTATTATCCTGTAAAGTTACCTTCCATCCTGATTTTGCAGGTGTGATTCTTTTACTTTTTTCTTTATAATAAAGTTCTTCTTTTAAGAACCTGATTGATTTTTAGTGTCATAAAAAGCCAAGGGTCTGGTCTGTGCTCACTTTGTTAACCTATTGGTTAGTATATTATTCTCAAGCCTCCCCAGGAAAGGGGGTGAAGGGACTTGGGGGGATATTTGGGGGAAATAGGGACTCCAAGCGGTCTTTTTCCGAATTTTTCTCTAAATCACTTGGTGGTGGCAGCAATACTGTCCAAGGACAAGGAAAGGATTTGTGCCTTGGTGAAGTTTTTAACCTAAGTTGGTACTTATAAGCTTAGGGGGTCTTTCATGCAGGTCCCCACATCTGTACCCCAGAGTTCAGAGTGGGGAGGAAACCCTGACACAGGCACAGCCAGATCCTCAAAGAAAGATGCTGTAAAAGTCCAATGTATTTGTTATAACTGGTGGGGCCCCATGGCCTTGCTCAGTGAGGGCTGGACCAGTGCTAAGGGCAGGTTCACCCTGGGTTTACATGGGGCAGTTTGTGTAAGAATGACCTGAGTCTGGAGAAACAACACTCCATTTTTAAAGCCCAAACACATAAAAGCACAAAACCTCAAATCTCACAAATGAGAGAGTGAGAGAAAGGCTTTGGGTGCTAAAACACTGCTTGGGGTTGGCAAATCTGCCAATCCAGGTGGCTTCACAGGAACCGGATCCTAGATTGGAGGCTACCAAACAAGCCACTGCTGTCCTTGGGTAGTCTTCAGTCAGCACCCTTGGGTGGGGGTAGGAGGGCAGTGCGTTTCTGCCTCCCAAATCTACCACAATTATCATGCACCTGCTCTGTCACTGAGGCCAGGTCAACTCTATAAACTTACATGGCGCTAACTACGTCACTCAGGGGTGTGAAAAATCCACCCTGCTGAGCGACACAGTTTCTATAACCCCGGTATAGACCGAGCTATAGAAACCCTCCCGTCAACATGGCAACCAACTCTCGTGGAGGTGAATTCACTACACCAATGGGAGATGTTCTCCTGTCGATGTAGTGGTATCTTCCCTGAAGTGCTGCAGCGTTTTAAGTGTAGACCTGCCCTGAATCATCTACTCCTTTACCACGATTTCTAGGCAGGCCCGACTGGCCGGCCTCTCCAGATGAGCTGGCAGCAATAGTGTTGGCAAACATCACCCTGAGTGAGGCAGCTCATTGGAAGGTGCGAGGGACAGAACGACTCCAGCTACACCTGGATGTTTTGCACCTGTGAAGACCGGAAATGGGCTGTTTTTTTTTGGGGGGGGGGGTGTACATGACCATGGCATTCACCCTCTCTCATGGTCCATCGATCACAGTGTACCAGGCAGAACACGGGTAATCTTGCCAGCCAAACCAGTGCGGAAGGTAACCAGGTGCCTGGTTTTGGACCGGAAAGTCTAGTCAAAAAGGGGACCTGAAAGTATCCCATCAGTTCTACTGACCGGACACCAAAAGTTCAGTTACTGCAGGTGGCGGAGGTGAGGTGATGGGTCATCGCCCACACCAGGCCCTACTCCGCCAGAGCCACCTCTTACCTGCATCAGGTGCTGCAGCTCCGAGCCCGGCTCCACAGGCATGTCCCTCCTGACTCAAGCGAGGGGGGTGGGAGGGGAAAAGAGGCGTGGATGGGGGCGGAGCCTCAGGGGAAGAGGTGTGAATGGGGGCGGAGCCTCGGGAAGAGGCGGGGCAGGGGAGGTTCTGGCACTCCTGCTGGAGTATCCGGTTTTTAAATATTATCAATCCTACCTGCACTTGATCTAAAGCCTGCCTCTTTGCTCCCTTTCACCGTTCAGTCTTGTTACTTGAACCCTGGTTTGAGATGTAACGAGTCTGGATGCCACCGGAAGAGCACCAATACATTATAAACATAAATAGCCCAGTAGAAAGGGGCTTGATTCTTGGTTTGACTGTGTTATTACTTGCGTTACAGTCGTGGCGTAGGCCTCAGACGTCACACACGCTTCAGGAGCCTTATACAGACGGTCAGGAGACTCCAGCATAAAAACCCAAACCGGCAGCCCTTCAACCTCCTGCTTTGTCAACCCTAGCGGTGAACAGCTGGGCCCGGAAGATGAGGAGGACCCATCCCACCCGCTAGCTGATGAGCTCCCCCAAGTTACGGAGAATATCCGAGTCAATGAGCCAGAGGCAGGAGGTTGCCCCCCGGCCAGTGAAGCCCTGCAGGAGATGTTCGGGGGTGGGGGGTATTGCTCACATTGTGCAGAGCCCTGGGCCAGGCCCCTAACACCCTGCCTGGCTGCCACTCAGTGGCTGTAGGAAAACCCCTCCCCCAGTTCCCGGCACTAACTGAGTCGCGCCCAGCACAGAACACATTGTCCGATTTGCAGCGGCGACCAGCGGGACTTTCAGATGCACGACATAAAAAATGGCAGCTGCCTTAAGCACAAGGCCAGCCTGGCTCACCCTGCACGTCCCTGCTTCATTCACCACACCCCTTCCAACCTCCCCAGCTAACAAGGCAGGACCCTGCAGACGACAGTCTCCTCTGGGCAGCCTCGACTCATCCCTACAGCTGTCCCCTCCTGTGCACCGCACGAGTCTGTGCCCCAGGGCGGAGGCCTGCCAGAGGGGTCAGCACCCTGGGCACTGTGGCCTCGGTTAGTGTCCCAAGTGCTGGTCGATTGAGCAATTGGCAAATCAGGAGGAGAGGGTGGGGAGGTGAGGAACTAATTAGCCCTCCGTTAACCCTGATAAAAGCCAGGAAGGAAGGGCTCCAGGGAGGGGCAGGAGAGAGCTCTTGTCCTAGGCCCTGCCAGAGAAGAACAGAAAGCCGTAGGGATCACAAACTGGGATGTCGCACGGTTCAGGTGTTGGTGGAAGGGGCGGGAATAAAATACAGAGTGGACACGGAAAGAAGTGGTCTGAGCAGCTCCTGGTGCCTGGGAGGGCAGGGACAGACCATCGCCCTGTCACGCAGTCCTGGGGGAAACAGCGTGTAATCATGTAATTTATGATGGTATCATACAACATCACAATTGTATCATTGTGCACACATACAGGGGGGGGAGTGAGGAGTCAGTGGGGGGCTTCTCTCGGGGAAAGACCAGGCAGCCCTCTCAACAACTGCCTGACACATTTGACAGGGTTAGTGGTATAATTATGCAAAGCTTCCTTCAGTCAAATTCTTTCTTAGCCTTGCTCTCCCCAGGTGGCCATGGTCCTCACTACTGAGGAAACACACCTGGCTCCCAGCTGGAATAGCTTGTGTAAGTGCTTCGAGTCACTAGCTCAGAAGCAATAGCACATGCCTGAATAAGTCAATGGCAACGGGCCAGATCCAGCTGTTTTGCACCACTCCAGTAGCACAAAGCAACCGTGACGCTGGTCCGAGTGGCCAGCCGGGGATTGCTATGGCACAAGGGAAAGGGTTAAGAGGAGACAGGAGAGGCTGGAGCATCAGTGATGCCCAGTTGTTGCAATAACCCCACGGAGCAATACTCTGGGGAGAAAAAAATGCTTCTGATTTCAATTCCCCAAGCGGGAGGCGGGGGAGGGAGTGCCCACTCTGCGCGTTTCACTGCTTGGAAATGTGCGTTGTGTTCACACGCTGTGATCAAGGCTTATCCATGTTTTAACTGGCTTGTAAATCGACTTCCGCATCGGGGATCGCGCAGGCTGAGGGCCGCAAACACACTGCTGCAATAGCCGAGAACGGCTCTGCTGTCCACGGGTCACTGTCCTTTCCTTCCAGGGGAAGCCGCCAAGTCTTACTTCACACGCCTCCGGTCCCGTAGGCAGATGTTGACCTAGGGCAGCGCTGTGTGGGAGAGAATCCAGTAAATGACACTATGGGCACAGAAACCACCATTTTATAGCGTTGTCGGTGCACTATTTCCACTTGGAGGGTGACCTACAGTCTACTGGTTTTGCTAAGAGGGCCTAGATGTTGACACACTCCAGGCTAGAAGAAAGGCACGGCTGCCCCTTGGAGGGGGGGTGTCCCCTGGGCTTGTCAGTTGCTGGCAAGAGGAGAGGCTGCAAAGCCAACTTCGGAGCAGTATTTTCCAACGGGTACCAGGGAGCAGATCAGCTGCCTGACCCCCCGGAGATCTAGCCCCGGCTCTTTTCAGGACACAGCTCTCCTAGCAGAGGTGCCATGATGCGCGTGTGGGCTGACAGCGCAGACACTGAAAGAGGGCTGGAAATAATCCCATGGGGGTATTTTACTCTGTCCTCCTGTTCCTGAACGCATGGGGCTGGCCTTCCCGCCCTTCCCCAGTCAGTGATCACCACAGCAGAGCCCTTGCTAGTCTCTACTGCACTCACACAGCTCTCCCTGATGGGCAGTTCATGCTGGTGCACACGCCAATTCTGCACTCTGGTGGACAGAGAGATGCTAAACACTCGAAGTCCAATGCATGGCTGTCTCTTGACCTCAGGGGAGCCAAGGGTGCCTACCATCTAAAAACCGTTAAATACACTCCATAGCCATATTCAATCTCCTACACCAAGCAATCTGTATCCTAGGGCTCTTAAACATAGTAAGAGAACCAAAGAAGTGCCACCCTTGCTAAACAACAAAGTAAAAGAAGCAGTGAGGCAAAAAGGCAGCCTTTAAAAAGTGGAAGTTAAATCCTAGTGAGGAAAATAGGAGGGAGCATAAACTCCGGCAAATGAAATGTGAAAATATAATTAGGAAGGCCAAAAAAAAGAATTTGAAGAGCAGCTAGCCAAAGACTCAAAAAGTAATAGCAAAAAAAATTAAGTACGTTAGAAGCAGGAAGCTAAACAACCAGTGGGGCCACTGGACGATTGAGATGCTAAAGGAACACTCAAAGACAATAAGGCCATTGTGGAGAAACTACATTTTTCTCTTTGCATTGGTCTTCACAGCTGAGGATGTGAGGGAGATTCCTACACCAGAGTCATTCTTTTTAGGTGACAAATCTGAGGAACTGTCCCAGATGGAGGTGTCATTAGAGGTGGTTTTGGAACAAATTGATAAACAAAGCAGCAATAAGTCACCAGGACCAGATGGGATTCACCCAAGAGTTCTGAAGGAACTCAAATGTGGATAGTTCTCTGAAAACATCCACTCAATGTGCAGCGGCAGTCAAAAAACCGAACAGAATGTTGGGAATCATTAAGAAAGGGATTGATAATAAGACAGAAAATATATTTGCCTCTTTATAAATCCATGGTACGCCCACATCTTGAATACTGCGTGCAGATGTGGTCGCCCCACCTCAAAAAATATATATTGGAATTTGAAAAGTTTCAGAATAGGACAACAAACATGATTAGGGTATGGAACGGCTGCCATATGAGGAGAGAGAAATAAGACTAGGACTTTTCAGTTTGGAAAAAAGATAAATAAGGGGGGATATGATAGAAGTCTATAAAATCATGACTGGTGGGGAGAAAGTAAATAAGGAAGTGTTGTTTACTCCTCATAACACAAGAACTAGGGGTCACCAAATGAAATTAATAGGCAGCAGGTTTAAAAACAAACAAACAAACAAACAAAAGAAAGCATTTTTTCACACAACGCACAGTCAACCTATGGAACTCCTTGCCAGAGGATGTTGTGAAGGTCATGACTATAACAGCATTAAAAAAAAAACTAGATAAATTAATTGAGGATAGGTCCATCCATGGCTATTAGGCAGGATGGGCAGGGATGGTGTCCCTAGCCTCTGTTTGCCAGAAGCTGCGAATGGGCGACAGAGGATGGATCACTAGATGATTACCTGTTCTGTTCATTCCCTCTGGGGCACCTGACATTGGCTGCTGTTGGAAGACAGACTGCTGGGCTACATGGACCTTTGGTCTGACCCATTATGGCTGTTCTTATGAATTTTCTTACTGTAAAAATGAAAATCAGAAGTGAAGCTGAAATGAACAGAGACAACCCATATTAGTCATTTCAATCTGAGGTGTCTAAAAATCAGTGTCCAGGTGACAGACCAGTGGCCAACAGAGATATGTCCCCTTTGTGATCTTTCTATTTCCACCACATACCCAACCGTTTTCATGGTCTTAAGACCCATCACAATTGCTTTGGCTAAATTCTCCCTCCTTCTTTGTTTTATAATTAACTTTGCCAAACGTAGCCAGTTTTTGGTGAGTAATCTGTTCACTCAGGTAAAACTTGGAAGACAGAAATGTCAATGAAATAACCAATGTCTGAAACAACAAGATCAGATGTGAACTTTGATCAACAAGCTGCCCACCCGGCATAGCCGGTATTTCAGCCTGTGCACCCCTTGGCTGCTCGTGCCAGGAAAGGGGGGGGGGGGTGTTAATAATTTGCGAGGCCCCTTTGTTCCAGTGTTACGCCAAGTCCTTTTTACCGTCATTTAAACCTCCAACTCACGGCAGAACTCCCAGCCCCCAACTGCCCACTTCAAGGACTCGTAGGATAAAATGTGCAGTGAACTTACTTCTGAATATTATCCCGTGAAGCAGCCTCATTAGCAGGGTTTGCAAAGGAACACTGCCCACACAAAACACAGGCAAGAGATTACATCGAAACCGACCAATACGCTGGCTTTCCGACTGAGGGGCCACCAGAGCAAAGTGTCTGTCACAGCATGTGGCGCCTCCTCCTGGCGGCTCTGGGGATTAGCTCTTGCCAGGCACTGTGCTTCCCTCCTCTGGCAGTCTCTCTACCCGCCGTCTCTGTCACCCTGTGGCTCTTCTCACTCCCAGAGCTGCTGCTTCCTGTTTGTGGCTTGGCCCTCCGACCAGCTCACTAAGGTCCTACCCTTCTGGGGAAATCAAAGTCTTCCAGACCCACAGTCCGACTGGCATCTCCTGCGCCACTTCCCAGTGGCTGGTAGGGGAGCCCGGGCCCACCCTCTACACTTGGACCCAGCCCAGGGACCTTATAAAAGCAGCCAAGGTCTGTATGGTCCTACTCCTCACTGCTGTTTCCCTGGGCTTCTTCCTACTTATCTGACTTTCCCCCTTTCTGGGCTGGACAGCCCCAGCTCCCTCCTCCCAGGGAGCCCCCATCGCTGCACTCAGCTCCTGGCTTTATACGGGCCCCTCCTGTTCTGCCCGGCTGCGCCCATTTCGAATTAGCGCCCTGCTCCTGTCTCTTTCTTCAGATGCTGCCTGGGCAGTTTATTGGCCTGCCTAGCCACGCCAACCCCATTCCTCCTCTTGGGAGGCTGTTCCAAAACCTCACACCTCTGACGGTTGGAAACCTCTTCTACAGATGGAAGCACAACCCATATTGAAGGGTGGCTTCCCCTGCCGGCTCACTGTGAACACGCAAGGAGAAGCTGGAAAATAAATACATCTGCTTCTGAGCAGCCGTCTTATCTGTATTTGGGATCCCTCTCAGCATGTGGAACAAACAAATGAGACAATCGGTTTTAAAGTCTATGAACCACACACATCCTGGGCTCCTTTGCACGGAGATTACTGTGGAGTAGAACAGCAGGACCCTTTGCTCCCCCGGCCGAACAGGGCCAGGACCCCGGCTGACAGGGAGCGACAGCACTCCATTCTGACTGAGCCAGATCACAGTTCCTTTTCTCACCAAGCAGATATTCAGCGTAAGAAGGAGGAAAAGCACCACTGCATATTAGCCAGACATCAAAGCACATTCACAGTCCCCTGCAATAGCATTTGTACCAAACAAAATGCAGTTGGGTCTTTTACAGAAAAAATACCAGCCAGAATATTTCTTAATGACCCTCTCCCACGGGCCAGGCAAATCAGACGGACCCAGAACGTGCCCCCTGCACCTGGGATTCCAGCCGGGTTCTTTCCGTCTTGCAGCCGGGACACTGAATTCACACAGGGCCTGATCTGCAGACTAAGAGGTGGCCATTTTTTCACACAGTCCCTTTTCAGACCACACTGAAAACCACTCTGCTCACAAGCCTTGTGAAGGTGAAGGACCCTGGGGGGCAGGTTCACCAGATAAAGGGATTTGGGGTTACAATTATCTGCTGTATCACCACGGCATATGGGAGCTGCTGGGCTGGCCACTATCCACCCAAGACACCATCTGGTACCTGCCTACTCAGCTACCAAACCTGTCTAGCAGCTCCTGGCCACATCCTGGTGCTGCAACTGGGCCGGACTGCAGCAGATGCTGGAATTCCTGCCAGCCAGGCTCAGGAACACTCGGTCAGAAACACCGGCTGCTTTTTTCACTATTTAAACCAAGAATGGGATAAAGTAACACAGATCACTGAAGGGTGGTACCGTGTCCCGTTCCCACTGCCCCCATGTCATTCAGCCTCAGAGTCAGCGCTTGCTTCCATCCCAGCCACGTCCTTGCCTCCAGCAGGATCTCTGCCTTCTTGTGTGGGGCTCCCGTCTGGTCCCCCAAACACTCACCCAGCCACAGGACCTCTCTCGTTCTGGCCTGTCACAATGCTGAGCTGTAATCCTCACCATGCGCTCTCCCAGCAGCAACCACCAGGTCCATGTGGTTTTCAGTGGGACAACGGACTGGCCCCTGGGCTCTGCCAAAACCACACCACCAGCTACAACCGAAACTGTGCAACAGCCGAATCCTACCATAACACAGCGCCCCAGATTCTTGACTGGCTTTTGTAACATGTGGTACCCTCCAGCGGACAGAGCCAGAATCCTTTGTTTTAATAACAGCAGCTTTTCTCGGTCCTGCACACAGAGAAAAGTATGTTAAAAAATGGTACTTAGCCTGCAAAGTCTAGCACTCAAAAATTAGGAAATGCTCGATTGACTGTTGCCCATGCAACCTTTATTCTGCCCCTTTGCACATCCATCCTGTGCACTGACTGAGGCAGGGCTCCGGTGGATAAAATAATGTGTGATTCTGTCACATGCATACAAGGGGCGATGGGAAACTGGAGCCAAGGGCTTGCCATAAGTAGGGGCGGCTGGTGGGAGGTTGCAGCCTTGCTTAGTACAGCTCTGCCCCCCGACACATCACCTGCTCTGCCCCCCGACACATCACCCAGGCGTTCCTGGTCCAGTAGGTGTGCAACCGCAGTTTATTTGTGGGTGGCGTGGGCCGCTCTTTCGAACGTTCATGTTCCGGGATGATACACGCTCCTGCCCAGAGATTCCGGAGGAGCGTGAGAGAGAAGGGAAATGGGGATTTCTCCGCACAGCCTGACTGGAATTTCGTGAGACACAGAAAAGGCACTTCTCCAGCCCCAGGACGGTCCCTAGGGAATGGCAGAGCTCTGTTGCAAACAAATGAAGCAGCAGAGTGTCTCAAATGACAGACAAGGGTCTTTGACCGTGGAAAGTGTTAGGCAAGCTAAGGATAAGGATCGCGACCAACTCCCTTTAGCATAAGAAATCAGTTCAAACTAGAGTCTTCGCTCCGGGGTCTAGCCAGAACCCACCCTCCTTACGTCAAGCTACTGTCCGTAGAAGCACTTCCTCGGAACCACTGATCTAGAAGCATCCCTGGCTGTGCACTGCAGTATGGTCCAGCGGAGAGAAGCAGCCAGCAGGACTAGCTTCTATTTCGGGTTCTCCAGCTGATTCCCTGTGAGACTCCGGGGAAGTCATCACCACTCTGGGCCTCAGCTCCCCAGCTCTGTAAAAGGAGGCTGTTTGCTCACCTTTGTAAAGTGCTTTGAGGTTCTTAAATGCTTCGTGTTATTGTGTGCTGCTGCGTCCAGCCGCTAACTCCAGGCATTGCTGGTCAGCAGGCTCTGCCTGAGAAGAGAAGACTGAATGATTTCTCTAGTACTTGGCAGCTGGTTTGGCCATGAATCCTGGAAAAGACAAACAAGGAATCAGAATCGTAGGACTGGAAGGGACCTCGAGAGGTCATCTAGTCCAGTCCCTGCACTCGTGGCCAGAGCTGCCCTATCCATAAGACGGACCTGGGCAACCACCTGGGTCTCTGCGCTTCGGGACCCAGGGCAGCCTGGGGGCTTAGCAGGGGGCCTGGTGCTGGCAGCAGTGAGCAACCCGGCCCCAGCCTGCCCCACTCCGCTGGCTCCCGGCATCACTCGGGGGGGTGGGGGGAGAAAGAGGAGTGAAGCCAGAAAGAGGCAGGGGTGGGCACAGGGACTCGGGGGAAGGAGTGGAGTGGGGGCAGGGCAGAGCAGGGGTGGGAAGAGGCGGGGTGGGGCTTGGGGAAAGGGGTGGAGCAGGGGTGGGGGCTTGGGCAGAACAGGCGGTTGTGCCCCCCTAGGGACAGCCCTGCTCGTGACAGTACTAAGTAGTATCTAAACCATCCCTAATAGGTGTTTGTCCAACCTGCTCTTAAAAATCCCCAATGAGGGAGATTCCACATCCTCCCTAGGCAAGTTATTCCAGCGCTTAACCACCCTGACAGTTAGGAAGTTTTTTCGAATGTCCAACCTAAACCTCCGTCACTGCGATTTCATTAGTTACCCTGAAATTTGCCTAGTCTCATTCCTAGGCCAATTTAATTCCAGGCACCAAACTCTCCTGCTCCCTCCTACCCCGCATCGCCCAGCTCAGTGGCAGCGACACTGCTCGTGGTTTTCCGACCAGAGCACGCAGGGATCTAGTTCCCACCAAAGGAACAAACGAAGAATTGCAGCAGATCCGTACGGCGCACACACAAAACACCATTTTCCAGATTCAGTGTGCGGGAAGGGAGCCCCCCGTTTCCACTCGCTGGGCGGTTTGGCAAACTGCCAACGCATTGCTCTATTTCAGAATGTAATCTGGGCTGTCCTGCTGGGTAATAGCCGGGATAAATCAGAAGTAGTTGCTAATTACAGTCTCAAAGCTATTCATTCAATGCTGCACTCAGAGGCAGGTACAGCAATCTGTAATGCCCAAGCCCTGAGAGACGTGTTCTCGTCGCTCCTGGAGACCCCACTCAGCCTCTCCTCCTACCGCCCTCCCCGGAGACCCTGGGGCACGGCCTGAGTCCACAGCCAGCTTCTCACTATCAGCTTCCACACCCGGGCAAAGGGCCCTCTCTGGACTGAGCCCCCTACACCTCCGAAGCCAGCCACTCTTGCAAACATAAGCTGCTCCTCTTGTAATTTAGAGTTTCCATAGCAACTTGCAGAAAAGTAATTGCTCAGTGTCCTTATTTCCATTTAAAGAGGCGTCTGCTGGTCCTTTAGATCTTTCCTATTTGTCTTTTTACTTCTCAATAGCCAGCCAGGGGACAGCTCAGTTTTGTGCTAAAGTGATCAGCTCTTATTTGTCTGTGTGTATTAAAACCTTATGCTCTGGGCATTTAGAGCACAATTACAGATGCACAAAATGAACACCCGTGCATGCAGCCACCACCAGTCCTCAGCTCACACACCCCTCAGTTGCCTGAGAGTAGCTGCACTTTGCGGCATACCCAGAGGTTAACAAATCTGACCTCTGATGGAGCAAGGTGGGGATGGGAGGGTAGAGGGAGTGATTTGCAAATGCAAAAAGTCAAAGACCCCTCATAGAAATGTCCTGATAATCACGGTCTCTTGTGCACATCAAGATGGCTCTTGTTCAGGTGCATCTGCTGATCTCCATATGTATTGTGCGAAGCAGAGGCTCTCAGGAACCATCTTTTCTGGAGATTCCCCCAGGGCAACAAAGCTCTGCCCACACCATTATTCCGTCCTGTGCCTTAATGGCCGGTCTGAACCTTTAGGGCACAGGACTAGCCAGACAAATCCTGCATTCCAGGCATTCCTATAGTCCTGGACGTCTTGTGAAAGCTTAAATTCTGTAAAAAGAAGAACAGGAGGACTTGTGGCACCTTAGAGACTAACAAATTTATTAGAGCATAAGCTTTCGTGGACTACAGCCCACTTCTTCGGATGCATAAATTCTGTGCCTTTGCACCTGGCCTAGGAATATCAATCACTCTGAATAAAGCCACGGTAATTGCCTTCAGGAGGACTGGAAAGCCACATTCATTATTCAATGGCACACACATTGGTCCCTATGCCAAAGCAGGAATTGATTCCAGAGTTTGATGATCAGCATTTCAGACATGCAAAGGTGGGAAGCAGACTGAATAAGATTTGTATATTTAGGGGGGAATCCCCAACTCCCTTCCCTGCTATGACCAGAAAGAACGGTATGAGAATATTTGGCAGTAAAGCAAAACCTGCCACATTTAATGCAGTCTGACTGTTTTTGCAGGTTTAATTTTTAACACCACAAATGCATAAAGCGCCATAGGTGTAGAGGGCTTTATAAACACTCAGGGCAACCAGTTGGGAGGGGGCTTTCAGTCTAAAGTAGACAGGGCCGGCTCCAGGCATCAGCCGACCAAGCATGTGCTTGAGGCGGCACCTTGGAAGAGGCGGCCAATCTTGGGTTTTTTTGTTTTTTGTTTCAGTGGGGTTTTTTGTTTGTTTTTGTTTCAGCGGCGCGGCACTGGGAGGGGCGGAGGCTGGCACAGCGCAGTGCTCAGGCGGCCCGGTGCGGCGCTGGATGGGGGGCAGGGGTTTCGGTGGCACGGCACTCAGGGGGGGTTGTTACAGCGGGGCAGCGCTTTTGGGGGGGGGCACCTGCGGCAGCAAAAAAGTTAGAGCCAGCCCTGAAAGTAGACATTAAAAAATGATGCAGCAGGCATCAAAGTGGAAGCAGCCACAGCCGAGAAAACGTTAGGGAGGGAGGGAGGACTAAGAAACAACGGTTGGATTAGGACGTTGGGAAAGCGGGATGGGGGCTTGCTCCACAGGAGCAGGGAGACTAGTCCTAGGAATGGGGAAGGACAAGAAAAAGCAGCAAAATGCTTGAGTAAGGGAAGGAGGCAAAGGGAGCAAGACATGGACAGAGCATAGGCAGGAAGTAGAACACGAGAACCAGTGCAAATCAGCATGCTTGAAAAGTGAGCTGCATCCGAGGGCTACTCCAATTACTCTGCCTTTCCCAGAACAAAAAAAAGACTGTTGAGCTGGCAGGGGCCTTGCAACCTCACAAGGAAGGGGGGAATCCAGGTGTCTGATGCTTGATAGAAAGAAGCCAAAGCAAAAATCAGACAAACCTGCTGAAGGGGACTCAGCACAGTGGATTGTAAGCAGTCCTTTAACTCCTCTGACTCTGTAAGGCTCAGTTTCCCCTTTCATCACCATGAGACGCGGTAACCCCTAGTTCTAGCTCACCATCCTGCAATATTTGGCATCTATTTCTCCTCACATAGATCTATTTAATGTCTCCAACTTTGAAAGGGTCACAGTACATGGACCGTCCAACGCACCTGGTGGGAGTTCTAACTATCACATCAGTGATGGGTAAACTAAGGATGTAAACCGGACCTGGCTGTCAAAACTCTATGTTAAGTAGTCCAGGTAACTAAAGATGTTAATAGCTTCTAGAAAGCCAGAGAGACCATATCAACTTAACGCAGCTCAAGCTGCTCTTTCCGGTTCAGTATTTCCATAGATTCATAGCTTCCAAGGCGAGAAGGGATCATAGATGACCTATTGAGGTCCTATGATCCTCCTAAACCAGCCTCTCTTTCCAACATAAGCTGCTCCCCATGTAATTTAGAGTTTCCATAGCAACCAAAAAAGGGAGCTCAAGTGAGGTCCCTTGCATTCCTACACTTATGATTCTATGACCGTGATCTAGTCTGACCTCTTGCGTAACATAGGACAGAGAACTTCCTCACAATAATTCCTAGAGCAGAGCTTTGAGAAAAACATCCCATCTTGATTTAAAAATTGCCAGTGATGGAGAATCCGCCATGATCCTTGGTAAATTATTTGAAAGGTTAATTACTCTCAATGTTAAAAATGTACACCTTATTCTCAGTCTGAATTTGGCTAGCTTGAATTTCCAGCCAGGGGATTGGGGGAGACTCTTCTCTGCTAGATTGAAAAACCCCATTATCAAATATTTGCTCCCCATATAGGCACTTATAGACTGTCATCACATCATCTCTTAACCTTATCTGTGTTAAGCTAAATAGATTGAGCTCCTTGAATCTATCACTAAGGCAGGTTTTCTAAGCTTTAATAATTCTCAGGGCTCTTCTCCAGTTGATCAACATCCTTCTTGAATTGTTTGCAGCAGAACTGGACATAGTATTCCAGCAATGGTCACACAAGTGGCAAATACAGAGGTGAAATAAACAGGAATCTGGTGTAGGAGCAGAGAGGTTATGCACCCAAGGATCACGTTCACCCTTTTGGCTACAGAGTCACACTGGGAGCTCTGTTTAGTTGATTATCCACCACGACCCCCACATCTTTTTTAGTCACTGCTTCCCAGGTGAGAGTCCCTCATCCTGTAACTACATCTAGGAACAAAATGCAGGCCATACACATTTACATCTGACTCTACTAAAACACATTGTTTGCTTGCACCCAGCTTACCAAGTGATCCAGATCACCCTATCTGTGACCTGTCCTCTTCATTACTTACCACTCCAATTTTTGTCTCATCTGCAAACTTATGTTTTCTTCTAGGTCAGTGGCAAAAATGTTAAATAGGGAAGAGGACAGAGCCCTGCAGAACCCCACCAGGAACACACCTGCCTTATGATTCCCCATTTACCATTATATTTTGAGACCTATCGATTTGCCAGCGTTTAATCCCATCAATGTGTGCCATGTTAATTTTATATCATTCTAGTTTGTTAATCAAAGTGTTATGAGGTACCAACTCAAACACCGTTTGATAGTCCAAATATATAACATCAACACTATTACCCTTATCATCCAAACTTGTCAGCTCATCAAAAGATATCAAGTTAGTTAGACAGGATCGATTTCCCATAAACCCAAGTTGCTTGGCAATAACTATTATCCTATCCTTTAATTCTGTATTCATCAGGTCCCGTATGAGCTGCCCCATTATCTTGCCCAGGATCACTGTTAGGCGGACAGGCGGATAGTTACCCGAGTCATCCCAGTTGCCCTTTAATATTTTCACCACTTTCAAACAAAGTTAGTTAAAAGCTAATTAGAAACTTAAAAAGAACACACACCTGAAGAGTGATTCCTGCTGAAAAGCCAAGCACAATGCAATCTCTTGTGAGAGATTAAGCCTTAGACATTAAAAAGTAGAAAAACAGCAAATGTTAATACAAAGATTTGTGGCTATCCTCCACCAAGTTTGTTCCATTGACAGAGAGATGCACATGCAGCCTGTTCTAGAACCCCTCTGCTGAAACACCCTCAGCAGCTGTAAACGATTCCCACATTTCCACGTTTTAGCATCATGAGATTCCAGTTACGTTGAGAAGAGTTGGGATGGACGGGTTCTAGTTTGGGCATGCTGGGGGCGGGGGGACGGAACGTGCCATTACACAGAATTCTAATCATTTCTCTAAAGCAGAGATTGTGCACAATCTTTACTTGCTAGCAACCATGTAAATGACCTAGGACAGACTCAAGCTTATGCCACTAACATCATTTGTGAAATAAAGCATGTCTACAATGCTGATCACAAGATGGTTTGTGTCTTTGTGCCTATTAACACTTATCTAAATAACTAATTAATTCAGTAATAAAACAAAATATACCACTATATAAATCTTGAATATGGCATGCAGTTTTGATCACCCTATCTCACAAGATAATTGGAAAAGGCACAAAGAACGGCAACAAAAGTGATGAGGGGTATGGAACAGCTTCCATACGAGGAGAGATTAAAACGACTGGGACTGTTCAGCTTAGAAAAGAGATGAATGAGAGCCATACGCGCCACTTCCTCCAGGTGCTCAATCCCCTGCTATGCCCCGGGCCCCACCACCACGGACTCTGCGCTTATGCTAAGGGTGGGGGGTGGAGGGGATGAGAGGTCTACAAAATAATAAATGGTATGGAGACCGTGTTATTTACTCCTTCACATAACAAGAACTGGGGATCACCTTATGAAATTAATAGCCAGCAGCATTAAAAACCAAACAAGTAGTTCTTCACACAACGTACAGGCAACCTATGGAACTTGTTGCCATGGGATGTTGGGAAGGCCACAAGTACAGCTGGGTTCAAAAGAGAATTAGAGAAGTTCCTGAAGGAGAGGTCCACCAATTGCTATTAGCCAAGATGGTCAGGGATGCCACCCTATGCTCCAGGCGTCCCTAAATTTTTGACTGCCAGAAATTGGGACTGGACAACAGGGGATGGATCACTCGATAAATTGCCTGGTTCTGTTCATTCCCTCTGAAGTATCTAGCATGGGCCACTACCAGAGACCGGATACTGGGTTAGATGGACCATTGGTCTGGCCCAATATGGCCGTTATGTACTTCAGATAACTCACAGGAAGTGTATTGATTTGTGACTTCTCCAAGATCACCGGAAAGTAGTGATAATATTTTCACCCCTCAGCTCATTACAAAACTGAGTTGTTTACAGAGATGAGCAGAGGTAACACATCAGGAAAGATTTTATAGCTGAAATTTGGACTTGTTATTTGGTCACTCCAATACCATCAGAAGAAAGTTTCTGCGACAGAACAGAAGGAAATGTTGTAAACTGGGTGAAAACAAGTCAATTTGCCAAATCAGTGTTGAAAGTCTACCTAAAAAGCTACACATACCATGCAAACACCATACATGCAAATACATACCATGAAAGCTACACATACCATGCACGGACAATGTGCTCTTTTGTTACTTGTTGAAAAATACGAATATCATTTAGACATTCAAAATTCAGCTGTAGGTAGCCTCATGAAAAAAGTACGGTTAAAACAGTTATCCCTACCTTATCTAAACACAAGAGGCAGCATCAATGGAAGGATGAATCCCAGTCTATCATGAACACCAAAAAGTTTTAAGGAATTCAGGATGCAAACAGTTGCAGCGAAGGCTAGAGATCATAAAATGTTTCATGTTGTACAGTTGTGCTATAAAGTTGCATTTTAGATCTGCTCAGTTATTTGTTATTTTTTGTACAATTAAAGATTTAAACAGCAAATTCTCTTTAAATAATCAGACATTTGTGAGTGTCCCCTTGTCAGACTGACTTTCAAGTTATAGAAGGGTGAGGAAAGGCAGAGGTACAAGAGGTAGATGTACACATGGAATTGCAAGTTTTGTGTTACTATTGTTCCAGATTAAGTTTAAGATCACATGGATAACCAAACTGAAGCCATGACAATGTCAGGTGTTAAGACAGGAAACAAGCTTTAATTCTGAAGATTTTCCAGAAGGAGCTATGTTTTCCTATGTTCTTATTTTAAAAGTTTTGCCAATGGGGTGTGTGAATGATTTCAGACTGGAGAGACTGAATTCTACTGCCTATGGAAGACTTTACATATGCATAGTTCTCCCACAGCAATATTTTCACTTGCAAGTGTCTGAAATCCTTTCAGGTGATCCCAGACTGGAAGCTTATATTTGGGTCAAGACCCACAACTGAAGTCCTTAGCACATTTGTGTGGCTGTAAAAATAATTAAGAACTGAAGTACTGGAATTCTGAATTTGCAGTGATAATTCAGGATAATCAACCCTAATTAGGGCCTTTGGGCGCTACCTTTCTATAAAGATTGAATTATGTTAAGGCAGATGTCCATCGAGGGGCTATGCCTCATTTATATCCTTCAACTAGTCACTATGCTTAGAACTCAGAAGTAACTAAAATCCATTGTACTTATTGAGCAGATTTTAATTGGTTAGAACATCAGTGCTTGGTAATGTGCTTTAACAGGTTTCAACCTCGTATGAATATATTGTGATTAAAGATACAGACACAACATTAAGAGGGAACATTTGGGAATACATTATTCTAACAAATTTTCGTTTCTCTTGTCTGCTCAGTCAAAAATCACATCAATACATATTTAACAGATTTTAAATCTTTTTTAAACATTATCTAAGAGAAATACATAAAACAGACAGAGCAATAGGTTGTGCAAAACTACAACTGCAATTTCATGCATATTTGTCTGGAACTACCAGGTTATTCAAGAGTTCTGGATTAAAGCCACTGTAGATATACAAGTTTCTTCATGCATGGTTTGCATTATTAATCTGTCCCAATTTAGTTTAGAAAGATATACAAGTCAAGTATATTGCAACTGCCTTATCAGTAGACAGGAATTGAATTATTCCCTGCTGGAGGGAGGAATCTAGTCCATCAATAGAAAAAAATAAAGACTTTTGATGCTTCTTTACCACTGGAAAATGGGGTTTATTGAACAAGACACACTGGGACTGAGAAAAATGCTAGTCCTACATTTTATCTGTCCAGGGTCACAGTCCTGTGACTGTCAGGTTTCTGCTGCCTGAATGGGGGGCGGGAAGTGTTTGATCCGTTTCAAAACACTGTTTCTAATGAGCTCTTTTACAGCTTCAGTGCTGTTTCATGCAGTTTGATTTCTTTATTCAAAGCAGTTCGGAGTAGCAGAGTGCTGTATCCTATCCTGTAAGGAATGCTGAAGAAGGCTCAGAAACAGCACCTCCAAGCTACAACTAAAAATCACAAATTCACACTTTATATTAATATTTTTCAGGATACTGCAGATTTAACTAGGACAACACGATTTGATTTATGACTTCTGAGTGCTAGATCACGTGAAAATGCTCCAACAGATGAAGCAGGACACAGGTCAGTTAAAAAGTCAAAATAGGTAATCTTTGAAATAAAAAAAGTTTATTTGAAGACTTGTAAAATAGCTCCTTGAAAGACCAACATTTTCAGAACACCAAGATACAATAATGCATTTTTCCATTATGTTAGGATACAAAAGTCACAATCCTTCAACTCTCTAGGCAAGGAATGAATTTACGGATCAACAAATGCTACACTTCAAACACCAAGAAAGTGAGTGGGCTTGAAAGTCAAACTAATTAGTAGCATATAAGTTAGGTCATCACAACCCCTGTGGCACACTTGTCATCACTAAGCAATAATGCAGGTTAGGTAAGAGCTTAGTGTCAAAACAATGAACCTATAAACTTTAAAGGAGCTCAGACAACGAAATAATATGCTAATTGCATTCCTTTCTACATCCCACTGATGGGTTCCCAAAGCCTCCTTTTTAGGCTTCTGTTTCAGAACAAACAAAAGAAAACTTTAGAACTTACAAATGTCAGTTCAGTTTTAACACACACTTTATTCACTTTAAATTTACATAATCTGTGCAAGAGACATGTGCAATGGAAGGACAAAGAACAAAATGTAGAAATGGACAGCACTGTCACAGAGACCCAAGTATTACTTCACTATACAGAGGCATGCCTTATACTGCTTTCCGATGGTATTCGGGAGGGGCTACTTCATAGTCACTGGCACTAAACAATGTGGAAGCGTTCTTTGCTAAATACCTGTGAAAGAAAAATATACACACGCAGAAATTAAAATACCTTGTTGCTCAGGTCATTATCAAGACTTAAGTTTTAATGTACACAAACTGTTATTTCACTGCTTCAAATTGGATTCCAGCATCTGCTCTTGAAAATCTGTCCTTAGTCTTTGAACAGCCCAGAGAAATATTCAGTTTAATTCTTAATAGGTGTCAGATATTGTACTCATGAAATCCTACAGAGTGCCTCACTCAGAATTTCAAGCAGTGAAATACTGTCAACAAATTTGACTACAGCCAAGTGTTGCCACAAGACCTCCAACAGGTTGAAATACAATATGAATTATGAGGTTCCGCTTCCTATCAAATGTTTGTCCTTTCTGGATGTCTGCCAGTCATTCAAGCAGGCAGGTAAAAAGTATCTTACTGTTTTGTACAAACAAATGTGGTTCTTAACAAGTGCTAGGTGAAGCTTTATATCTAGGGCCCTACCAAATTCACAGCTGTGAAAAAACACATCATGGACTGAAATCTGGTCTCCCCCTGTGAAATCTGATCTTGTGTGCTTTTACCCCATAGGATACAGATTACACGGGGGAGACCAGTGTTTCTCAAATTGGGGGTCCTGACCCAAAAGAGAGTGCAGGGGAGGTCACAAGGTTATTTTAGGGGGGTCGTGATATTGTTACTCTTACTTCTGTGCTGCCTTGAGAGCTGGGCGGCCAGAGAGCAGCGGCTGTTGGTAAGATGCCCAGCTCTGAAGGCAGCACTGCCACCAGCAGTAGCGCAGAGGTAAGGGTGGCAATACCATATACCATCCCATCCTTACTTCTGCATTGCTACTGGCGGTGGCTCGGCCTTCAGAGCTGAGCTCCCAGCCAGCAGCTGCCGCTCTCCAGCTGCCCAGCTCTGAAGGCAGCGCCGCCACCAGCAGTAGCGCAGAAGTAAGGGTAGCAGTACCGCAACCCCCCTACAATGACCTTGTGACCCCTACCCCCACACACACCTCCTTTTGGGTCAGGATCCCTACAAATTACAACACTGACATTTCAGATTTAAATAGCTGAAGTCATGACATTTACAATTTTTAAAAATCTTATGACCATGAAATTGACCACAATGGACCATGAATTTGGTAGGGTCCTATTTATAACCAGGGCTAGAAGACGACTGGCCAGTAAATATGGCATTCTACAAACCAAGTGCTGCACAGTGATACTCAGGCCTTCTTTGTAGGGCAGAATCAGGTTTTCTCCCTAACCACAAGCGTTTACATTTTAAAATGGGGATATTCTTAGGGTTCTATACGGCCTCCTGCGAGGATCACTAAGTTAATCACCTACTGCACTTCATTTATTAACACATTTTCAAACATTATGGATTAGCTACCAACGGCTTCTATATTAGCCTGTCTTTCACCTATGAAATTAAGTCAGTTTTCTATTCTTCACAATATAGTGTTAAAGAAATAATTGCTTTATTGAAGGAATAAAGAGAAAGCAACAGAATGTGGCGGTAAAAAGACATTATATATAAAAATAAAAGCAGGTAGTTAGCGCATAGTGAGAAAATGATGGTATGCCTCTGGAGTGTTAATGCACAAGGCCAAGCAATTTCAAACATTATGTATTTAAATTGCCTACAAGACCGACACTGCCTGACATTTCCCTGCCATACTGGAAAGTATGACAATTGTGCTTGTGCATTTACTGGGGATTATAAACATAAATGTGAGACCAATGACAACTGGAGAATTAACCATGCATCCAGAGTTCTAAAGCATAAGCCATAACTAGAGGAAGTCCTCTTAAATTTGAGAGCTGCAGAGGATTCTTTCATACATTAAAATTTAAAATCAGATTACAAGTTTCTAAAATGTAGAGGACTCTGATTCTTTAGAGTAGTCAGTTCCTCCACTAACAGAGCATGAACTTCCAGCTCCATTACAGCAGATCAACTTTCCACTTTTAGATTTCACATTTAAGTCCTATAGTAAGATAGGTGCTTTTTAATGTTTTACTCTAACTGACTTAAGTGCCTCGAAGTGCTATTGAACAAATGGGACGTCGTTGCAAACAGTCTGTTGCCTTGCATGTATTTCAGGAAAGGCAGATCAACAAGTTCTAAAACGCATCAAGAAACAAATGGCTTAAGCTTGGCCTTTCGATGAGCTGAAAGACGGACTCGTAGCTCAGCTACTTGACTGGGATTAGCTCCCAGCTCTGCCACAGACTGAGAGACTTTGTTAACATCTTTTGGCCTCTATTCCCAGTCTGTAAAATGGGGAAAATGCTCCTCCCTCCACCTTTGTCTGGACCGTGTACTTGGATAAGCTCTTCAGGGCAGGGACTGTCTCTTATTGCATGTATGTAGAATTGGGTGCAAATTTTGACTGGGGCTTCTACACACTTGACTAAAATATAAAGATGCAAAAAATGTAAAGATGTTTTTCATTAAGGCAATAATAGAGGACAGTTTTTGAAACGCCTGATGGAATTGCTCTGATTTAGCAGTTTGCAGCAGCACACGCAAGAACAAAAATGGATCTTTTTTCTACCCAAATGGTTTGTTTGATTCCTTTCCTTTTAAACTGCAGTGTACTTCAGATCAGACATGCCAAACCCATGGGAAAAAACCAAAAACAAAGAAATTGGGTGCCAACACCACGACATCTGTTTTTGGCTTAACTGGCTTGTGAGTTGATTGTTGGCTAGTTTTTTGGCTTATAGCTTGTTGCTTCTTTTTGGGGGGGGATTGGCTCCCGGCAAGCAGAGGCAAGGGGGGGGGAATAGTCAGGGGTGCACAGCGGGCCCACCACAGTCCCAGACTGCATGCCCGGGGGTGAGGGGAGGGAAGAAATCTAGTCAGAGTGTTGGAGTTCTTAGGGATTGGCTTCATTTTTGGCTCATTGTCAAAGTCGGGGTGTTTATTTACCGCATGAAAGTTAGCAACTGTGCTTCAGATATCAAAGAACTTTACTGAATGTTAGTAATGACAGAAACTCAACTGCAAAAACCCATGCATTTCACCTTTGGTATGGGCCTTCAATGGAAATACACATTTCTCTATAATCAGGAACAATTGTGTAGTATGTCAAGACAAAGCGTGCCAGAGCAATTTCTAGTACAAGACCTCTCGTACCAACTCTGTTGCTACGAAGGGATGACTAACTGCAATATTAACCAAGCACCTTTTTTCAGTTTGTTTAGTTAGTTAGTTCAGAAAATTTTAAGCTGCTTTAGGTAAATCTAGGTCCTGAAACTTGAAGTCTTTAACAAGTTACTCTTCAGTAAAATGCACACTCGGTTGTAATACTAACTATGCAGAACTGACCACCACCACCAAACTGGAAGAAAGGCTGTCAAGAGACCAACGGGCTTGCTCTGGATTAGTGTTGCAGATTAACTGACACTGTCAATATCAAAATACTGTCCAAAAAATTAGAATAAAAAAGCATTAGGTCACAGTCATATAAACAAACACATGCTAAACATTAAGCATATAAATAAGTGTTTGCAGGATCAGGGCTTTAGTGTTTTTAAAAAACCTTCAAACACACAAAGATGAAATGCTGAACTTACTTCAAGAAATCATGCAAGTAGTTTAACAACAAAGCCAGGCTCTTCTCATCAAGAGGGGTGTAGGCAAGCATAGCTCCAATTCGTACTGTTTTAAGAAAAGCATAGATTTGACCTTGTTTTTCATGACAACTTTAACCATACATGAGTACAAGCCCAAGATCCATATGACATGATCACTAACTTCAGACTCCCATTCTTACCTACGCAAGCTTCTCTAAACAACTACATTTTTAAAACTTCCATTCTGAGTAGGTGATTTGTGGTTTTGAACATTTCATATAAATGACCCAAGGATAGTCATGCGAGTCATTTGTTTAGACATTTTACTCTGATTCAGTGTCTTATTCCAATTATTAACGAGACAGAAAAGAAGCTGGAGCAATATAACCATTTGTCCCCTTTTATGGTAGACTCAAGATGCCAAACTTACCAAACAATCGTAGTAGGTGTGGTGCACCATAGACTTGTGACATAGGCGCATCGGGATGATCTGCTAAGATTTCAGCATACTGTGGCCTCTCAAATTTGTACAGCAGTTGAGTCCCCAACATTACATTGAAGTACTCTTTTATTCCAGCAACAACTTCATTAACAGCGTATTCTCTGGCACACAGAAAGGAAATGTGAAATATTAAAAATGTAAATAAAAAACAAAAGCAACCACCAGGGCTGTGGTTTCCTGGGATAGTTTAGAACTCTGAAGAGCCAATATTCATAAGAGATGGCCCAGAGAAACAAATGCATAGTTGTAGTGGTTCCACTTTTTAAAAATGGGGTATTCTGGCTCTACATGAAGACGTGCTTCAAGTCAACTTGGTTCTAAGAAAAAGTAACTAAAAGCAAACTGTCTGCCTTCCCACCTGAACGGGATACTTATCCAAACGCATGTCTAAAGCGGCACATTCAAAGCAAGATGAAAAGGCAATTTCTTAAAGTCTTGGAAGATGCACCTATCAGTTCTATGCCACACACATCATAGACACCGACTTCTGCTCCCGCCGGTGGGTGCTCGACCGCCTCTCTGCCCCTGACCCCGCCCCCACTCCACCCCCTCCCTGACACTATTCCAACTCCTTCCCCAAAATGTTGGGGTTACTGCTTTTAACTTTAGACTTCTGTAATATCAGCAAAGAACATAAGCCTTTCACATCGAACAGATAACATTTAACATGTGGGGAAAGTGCTGTGCTCTGCATAGGAGTAAGGAAGGAAAAAAGATGCACCATTTGGAGAAAAAATTCTCTTCCACTCAAATTATTTTTATTTCCACAGGGTTCATTTGCCATAGCAAATCCATTAAACCAAGCTATTCTCCAGACATTTTGCAAGAAGTCTGATATAATACCCAAACAAGATGTCAGGACAGATCATGAACAGGATGCCATGATATAAATCAGTGTTTCATCCTCATCTGGAACACTAGTCACCCAATCTCAAAAACGACATTGTAGAATTAAAGGAGTTTTCAGAGTAGGATAAGGAGAACAATTAGGAAGGTGGAAGACTCATTGAGGAGATTGAAGGACCGAGGGAATGTGACAGAACTATATACAATGAATGGCATAGAAGAGGGAGATCGGGAAAACTGAAGCTCCAGTCTCAAAACACAGAAGGGCATTTGATGAAACTGAAAGATGGCAAACTCAAAGCTGATAAAAGGGAACACTTTTGTGCAATTTAATTAGACGAATTCATTGCCTCATGATGTAATGGAAGCAAAGGGATTGGACCATTCACTTAGAATACAAGCATACCCAGCATTCTAGTAGTTAATACCAACAAAAAAACCTTTCCGGTCTTAAACCAATCTCTTTTAGTGATTAAGGTAAGAACTTCACGGAGGGTACATTATCTCTCATCTGCATGCTGCAAGATTTCTTGTATCTTCCCCTAAAGCATCTGGTACTGGCCGCTGTGGGACACAGGATACTAGACTAGATGGACCCCAGTTCTAATCCCACTGATGTCACATGGGTGTTTATTTCAATGGATATTGGATCAGGCCCTGGATCTGGGAGGAGGATCCTGCAGGAGCCCTTACAAGATGCACAATGAAGAGGGTAAGATACTGTACAGCTTCTTAGAAGGCGTTCCCCTCCCCCGCACCCCTCAAAGTGCATGAAAGAGCATTCCAGCTGTGCCCAGCCCTAGAAAAATCCACTAAGAGAGAACTAAGTTAAAACTATTAAGATTGCACAATTAAGCACTCAGAAGTCCCGAAGCGTAAGCTAGGGTCTTGCAGGAAACTTAAACAGTGTATTGTGTGCACACAGGGGGCAAAGTGAAACAGGGTGTTATAAGGGTGACACTAATCACCCTTAGCTATACTCAGAGCCACTCCAACGATAACAATTGATTATACATAAAGACATGCGAGCCCAATTTTCAAAAAAGTGTCAACCTAGATTTTGGCATATACAGCAGCACAAGATTAGTCCCCTTTATGAACAGCATTTTTAGCAACTGGACCTTGTGTTAAATACACCAATAGAAGGAGAGAGAAACAAGCAGGTACATTTACACTTCAGGCTTCTTTGAAAATTCCAGCCTGACACTTTGTTGCACAGAAGTTATTTATTTATTCAGGTTCAGTTCTTGATTTGCACTTCAAGTACTAAACTACCATTTGTATTTTAACAATTTCTGTGGTCGCTGTGAGATTGGGAGATGTTTGGATAAACTGAACTCCAGGTTGTTTTTCAGCCTTCATTTTAATTGTAACTGTCAGTCACTTTCACTTTGTGTTATAGCTTTCATTTGGGGATTAGAACGTTCCTTCTGAGCTAGGGACTGGTCACATAGGTGAATGATTATAAAGGAGACTCAGAGAACCATCAACTTGGATTAACTCTCTGCTGCAGTGTTCTGGATTTGCAACCAGGAGGCACAACTGACTTGACTCTACCCAAATCTAAAAGGATGGGGCTGGAACTCCTTGGTCTAAGCCCATAGCTGGAGAGCTGCAGTTTGACCACAGATGAGAGACGAAGGATGGGTCTGAGGGGGAAGCCATCCACCACCAGAAGACTGAGATGGAAAGAGGAAGGCAGCAAGGGTGGTCTACCTTGCTTAAGGATGCTGAACAAACCCAAGGCTGACAAGAGCAGGGAGATCAAACCGGGTGGATTGCGTTCAAGGGTTTGCGATTTTCCAAAGAATGATCTAACATTCTAATGCTGCTCCACAGTCAATGTCTGTGGTTAAGAAATTCCTGTGCCAAACTGGGCCCAGGATTGTGGTCCATTTACAAAGAAGTGGTGCCCATCCAGGAAGGAGGACTGGGACAGTCTAACAGTCAACAGCAGAAAGCCATTGTAATGGCTAAGACATGCCCTTTAAAATGCCATTACTTACTTATTATCAGTGTTTCCTCGTGATTTCTTGTAGCTTGCGTAATCCTCTAAAATGGAGTCAACGTTCTTCTTGGCAGGAAGATAAAAGAGCTATGAAAATCAAAGAATAAATAGACTGATTAATGCAAATAGTCTCACCTGCAGAATGTGTCTGCATACTAGTTTCAAAGTACTGACAAATACAACGAGGACCTTTGTAGAAAAGAATTTTTCTACAACATTCAGCTGGTAAGAGAATTTGTAACTAGGATTTTACTTGACCATGAAGGTATTAAATCACAGCTAACCATTCCATCATGTTTGCCCCTTCTCTTTTCGCATGTTGTCTGCTTTTCAAAAGCAATATTTTACTGTTTGACTAAGCAGAGCTCCTCAGAATCTATAATATGCAGCAATGAATTCTAGAACCGCAGCAAACAAATCCCTATGTGGTCTAGCTGATATAGGTGGGAATTACAGAAATCCTCCCATCCAGGGACAAGATGGAGCCCCACAATATCTTTATGCATCAAACCTTGCCCACTACTTTAAAATTTATCTTAAATAAAGTATTCTGTCCTAAATCTAATAGCCGATAGCATTGCATTACACACATGAAGAGTCCAGATTCTTCTCTCTTAGCTCCCTACAGATATCAAGGGCTCATCATTTCTTGTTCACTCTCTGCCAAGATCTGCTTGTTGACAGCAGACGTATTTCAGACACCACTGATCATACCTTGTATGTTTGTAAGTTGTAATGCCTGCAGGTGGAATGTCTAGCTAAAGAGGGCATCACAAAGAAGCAGAGGAGTTGATTAGTATTATTCAAATGCATGGGCCATTAAGGATTTTAGCTTCTATGTTTAACACTGAATGTAGAAGCCATTATATATACACAAGCCATAACTAAACTGTATATTAATATACTTGCTTTACACTTTTGAAACATGAGCTCAAATACAAATCTTTGGTCACATCTGGATTCAATGATTCAATTCCTTTCACAAGAGCATTCCAGTCTGAGGAGATTCAGAAATGGATGTTCCCAGAACTGGAATAAGTACTATACTGAATACCACTACTGAAGTACATTTGCAGAGTTGCATGGGAAAGTGTCCACAGCTTTATGTCAGACTCAAGTCATGGCTACTGATCTCTTGCTTTTAAAAGATCACATTTTTAAGTAGTTGTGGTAGACTCTTACAGGCTTCAAATGGGGGATGGGGAGGATTGCTTGCGTGAAGATTCCAGGGGAAGAAAAAAAAACAAAACAAAACAAAAAAAAAACACAAAACCTATGATCTTCAACAATTCATTAAGGTTTTTAATTGAAGAGAGAATTGCATTTTAGTTTATTACAGAAGCAGGACAAGCAGAGTTTAATTTAGCTAAATTAATCTAGCAAGAAGCCTTGTTTTGGATTCAAATCATGCAGGAAAGCAGGAGGAGATAGGAACATATACAACTACACAAAAAAACAATTTTCACAGAGCCTCAAGTGCAACTTGGAAAGTTTTTTGTTTTGTTTTTAAACCACATCATGCTTGCACAAAAACTGACTGTCAGGACCTAGTTGTAGGCAGCCTAGTGGTTAGCCATGGGCAGAGTGCTGGGTCCCCATGTCACCCAGGGCTCCGAACCAGAAGATCAGGAACCTCGAGTCAGATACTAGGAATCAAGCAGAGTCAGGAAACCAGGAGACAAGCAGGTAGTGCTGGGTGAGCAGTCCAGAGCAGGGTGGGGCTCAGTTATACAGGCCTTGGCTACACTTACCGGCAAGTTCGACGGCTGGAAATCGAACTTCTGGGTTCGACTTATCGCGTCTAGTCTGGACGCGATAAGTCGAACCCGGAAGTGCTCGCCGTCGACTGCGGTACTCCAGCTCGCCGAGAGGAGTACCGCGTGGCACACTTT